TATATTATATATAATATATATATTATATATAATATATATATTATATATAATATATATATTATATAGGTGTCTCCTTTCTCCTGCTATCTCTTATAGTAATGCCTATAGTAAGAAGTGTCTCCTATAAAAGGAGACACATAATAAGAAAAAAAAAAGGAGACACCTAATAAAAAAAAAGGAGACACCTAATAAAAAAAAAAGGAGACACTAAATAAAAAAGGAGACACTTAATAAATAAAAAGGAGACAATTAAATAGAGACACTTAATTAAATAAAAAGACAATAAATATAAATATCTTTTTATGTTTTTTTCTTCCTCTTAATTAATAAAGAAAAAAAAAAAAGGAGACAATAAATAAATTGTCCCCTTTTTTTTTCTTTCTTACCCTCAAGGTATTATCTGTCTCCTTTTTATGTGTCTCCTTGTCTCCTTTTACGAGACACACAAAAGGAGACACCCTCCCCTCTCCTTAGCTAGCTAGGGTTTATAGCTAGCCAGGGTTTATATATTATTAGGGTTTACGCATTAGGGTTTACTCCTCTTGAGGGTTTACATGGGTATTATACAGCCATAGTACTAACACTATATATCTAAACCCTAAACCCTTATCTATATATATAAGGGTTTAGGGTTTAGATATATATATAAATAAAATACAAAGAGAAACCCTACGAATAGATAAAAGTAGGGTTTTTTTATGCGTATAATAATACGCAACGGAAACCCTAGGGTTTAGGGTTTATGAGTGTTGAATTGATTAGGGTTTATGATTGTGTATGATAGTGTTTATAAATTAGGGTTTATAAATTAGGGTTTATGAATTAGGGTTTAGGGTTTACATATAAGGATGATTTTTTCTAATAGTATGTTCTAGTTTATTATATTGTTCTTGTATTTGTTCTTGTGTATCTCCTCCTGTCTCCCCTCCTTGTTGTCCCCCTTGATTAGGGTTTAGGGTTTGCGTATAATTAGGGTTTAGGGTTGGCTTATGTACCATTATAACACTTGCTGGCCTCTTAGAGGAAATTAATCCCCCTAATGTTTTTTTATTACATAAATAAGAATAAATAATATTATTTTCTTCGCATAATATAGGTAAATGAGAAATAATATCTATAGGGTATACATCATTAGCAATAAACACTAAACCCTTATTTCCTTTTCTTATACTTTTTGTTACTTCGTATACACCTCGTTGTAATAATCTTATTGATGGGTTATACCCCTTATTTATTTTATTTATTTGCTTATTGCTGCTACTGCTGCTGCTGCTGCTGCTGCTGCTGCTGCTGCTGCTGCTGCTGCTGCTGCTGCTGCTGCTGCTGCTGCTGCTATTTTCTTTTCGACGGCTTCGAAATTGTCTCTCCGCTGCTGCCACATTCTTCACCAATTTAAATGCTCGTCTTAATGCCTTACCCTCTAATAAGGGGACAGCACAAGGAGACACATAAGGTATAGGCTCTGCTGCTGCTGCTGCTGCTGTTGTTGCTGCTGCTGCTGCTGCTGCTGCTGCTGTTGTCTCTGATGTATCCCCCCCCATCTTTTATATTAGGCTAATAACTCTCTTGCTGCTGTTGTTGCTCCTCCTGTTCTTGCTGCTGTTGTTGTTGTTGTTGCTGCTGCTGCTGCTGCTGCTGGGGGTGTGGGGGCAGCAGCAAACTAACAGGTAGTCTTAATTGTTAAAGGAATGGATCTGCTGCTGCTGTTGCTGCTGTTGATGCTGCTGCTGCTGCATCCAAGTACAAAGAAGATTCACGGAGCCGTAAATCGACAGAGGGGCCCCGCAGTTGCTGCTGCTGCTGCTGCTGCTGCTGCAGTACTACAGATTGTTGGGGTGTATATGCATACACCATAAATCGTATAAATAAAAGAATAATAAATTAATTAAATATAAATAAATAACAAGAAGAAAAAGGAGGGGGAAAAGAAGAAAAAAAAGGGCTAAGGGCCTCCTCTACAGCAGCAGCAGCAGCAGAAACCACCACAAAGAGCTCCTGCTGCTGCTGCTGTTGCTGCTGTTGCTGCTGCTGCTGCTGCTGTGCCTCGACCGCTTGTTCTATGGGCATGCAGAGATGCTTGCTGCTGCTCCTTTTATACAAATAAATACTAATTAAATAATAATTATAAATAATAAATAAATAAATAAAATATAATTAATTTAATTTTTATTTTTATTTTTTTTATTTTTTTGCATGCATGCATGCATGCAATCAGCAGCAAACCAGGGGCCCCAGCAGCACTTTATTATAATAAGAGGAGAGGAGGCCCTTTGTGTCTCCTGCTGCTGCTGCTGCTTTATATTTTCTTTTCTTATTTAGGGACAATTGTCTCCTTTTCTTTTATTTTATTCTTTATGTGTCTCCTTTTTCCTCTTATTTACTGCAGCAAACATATTAGTGTGCATGCATACAGGCCTGTCTCCTCTGCTGCCCTGAAGTCGGCTGCCGCTGCTGCTGCTGCTGCTGCTGCTGCTGCTGCTCGAGGGAAGCGGCAGCAGCACAGCTAGTTAGCTACCTCTGCTGCTGCAGCAGTAAAATCGGCAGCTTGCTGCCTCAACCGGCCATCAGCAACAGCAGCAGCAGCAGCACTAGCGCCAGCAGCAGCAGCAGCAACAACAGCAGCAGCAGCTGCCGCTGCTGCCTCCTCTCCCTTTTATTGTATTTCTTAGAGGAGAAGAGAGGAGGAGACTCCTAAAGGAGACAAAAGGAGACACCTACTGCCGCGGTGTCTCTTAAACCCTAAACCCTAAACCCTAAACCCTTTTCCCTCTTTATCTTTCTAAGCCCCTACGGATACATCCGAAGCAGCAGCAGCTGCAGCAGCAGAACCGGCAGCAGCACCGGCAGCAGGAGCAGCAACAGCAGCAGCAGCAGCAGCAGCAGCTTCGTCATGAAAGAAGGATAGGGCCCCTAAGTGTAGCCTTTCTTTGTTAAATTTAGGGTTTAGGGTTTAGGGTTTAGTGAATATAAGAAGTAAATAATAATAAGCAAAAAATCATCATTAATACCTTCTTGTCTAGCAAAAGACCCAAGAGGGGCCCCTCTATTTCTTTGGGGGCCCCTATAGGTCGTAGGGGTCCCCTATAATACTTAGGGGGCCCCTCTAGGTCTTAGGGGGCCCCCCCTGGAGGTTTAGAGGGGGCCCCCCCCGGAGGTGTAGAGGGGGCCCCTCTTCTCTCCTGCCTAATGAGGCGACTCATCCCTTGCGCAGGACGCTCCACAGAAGACGTAGGGGTAAGCAGCAGCAGAAGCAGCAACAGCAGCAGCAGCAGCAGCAGGTAGTTTGCTGTTGTCGTCTTATAGGTGCTTGTGTATTTATGGAGGGTTTTCTTTTTCTTCTTTTGACCGTAATTAGGGTTTAGGGTTTAGGGTTTAGGGTTTAGGGTTTAGGGTTTAGGGTTTATTTGTCTCTTTATTGAACCCTTTTATGTTATATATATAAAATAACATAAAAAAATAATAAATTATACAATAAATAAAAGGAGACAAAAAAGGAGACAAAAAAGGGGACAAAAAAGGAGACAAAAAAGGAGACAAAAATAAAGTGTCTCCTTTTGTGTGTCTGTGCAGCCTCTAAATGAAGATTGTGTCCCTGTCGTCTCTACCGATGCGCGTAAGTTAGGGTTTAGGGTTTAGGGTTTAGGGTTTAGGGTTTCCTAGGGTTTAGGGTTTATCTTACATAGAGTATATATTAATTATTTATTCCTCTATAATACAATATATATATTACTACTCTCTATAGTAAGACCATAAATTAGGGTTTAGGGTTTCCTAGGGTTTAGGGTTTAGGGTTTAGGGTTTAGGGTTTATGTGTGTGCTGTGTATAGTGGTGGAGCCTCAATACAGAGACACACGAACAATAATATATCTATGGGGTCGTCGTCTATTAAGAGGGGAGGGAGAGGGTACTTATGGTGTACTAGGGGGGGGCCCCTCCTCTATGGGGGCCCCCCTACCTTCATGTCCACCGTACCCTTTTTCTTCATCAGCAAATGTAGGTGGTGGGGGGGGCCCCTCCTCCTCTCCCACCCACCATAACCACCAATTAGGGGCCCCCCTTGGAGGTATAAATGGTGTTGGGGGCCCCCCATCATCAATAGTGTCTCCTTCTTCCCCATCCTTAGGAGGGTACTATAATAATAACACAAGCAGTAGTACAAGAGGGGCCCCCCCAGGAATAAGCATACCAATAGGGGCCCCTTCCTCCTCCCCTTCCCACCCCCACCATCAGCAGCAGCAGCAGCAGCAGCATCAGCATCAGCATTCCTATTCAATAAAAGAGGAGGGTACCGTTATCCCTCCCCCTCTCCCCCCTCAAGGTACAAAACAAGGAGGAGGGGCCCCCCCTGCCCCTCCCCCTTTATGCAGACCTATTATAATTAGGTCCCTAATGGATATAAAGGTAATAGAGGTTGGGGCTGGCGAGTTGCATGCATTATTCCTAACAGATAAAGGGAGAGTATATTCTTATGGTGATGGGGTGTATGGACAGCTAGGACTAGGACCTATCTGTCTCCTTACTAAACAACCACAAAGAATTAATTTATTTAATAAAAAAAAACATTTTATTATACAAATTGCTGCAGGAGACTATCATTCTATTGCACTAACAGAGGAGGTAAATAAATTTATTTATTTATTTATTTATTTATTTATTTATTTATTTATTTTGCTTATTTAGCTAGCTATTTATGTTTGCGTCTTTTTTTCTCTCTTTTTTGTCTCTTTTTTTTGTCTCTTTCTTTGTTGTGTCTCTGTTGGTATTTAGTGTCTCCTTTTATGTTGCATGCAGCTTACTATAATAAGTGTCTCCTTTTATATACTTGTGTCTCCTTTTTTGTCTCCTTTTTTGTCTCCTTTTTTTATTTATAGGGTACTGTATACTCATGGGGTGCAGGAGACTGTGTAGGAGACGGTACAGGTTGCAGCGCATGCAGCCCCAAAGAATTAGATTTATTGAATACAGTAGAGGGTCTGCATGCACCACTAGGATCAGCAGGAGGAGGAGGAGCAGGAGGAGGAGGAGGAGGACGTGTCTCCTCCCCTGTATGCAGACGTATTGCTGCTAAGGGGGGACTGTCCCTTTGTCTCCTATTAGGGGGACAGTTACTAGGTTGGGGACAATTAATGCATGCAGGCTTCTCTCTTCTTCCTCGTCTCCTTTATCAGTTCCCTATACACCATAAAGTTGTACAATTAGCTATAGGCACTGCTGTTATATTAGCATTAACAGGTAATTAACTGTCTCCTTTTTTGTCTCCATTTTTGTCTCCTTTTTGTCTCCTTATGTGTTTCCCTTTTTGTCTCCTTATGTGTCTCCCTTTTTGTCTCCTTTTTTGTCTCCTTTTTTGTATCCTTTTTTGTCTCCTTTATTGTCTCCTGTTTATTATTTTATTGTGTCTCCTTTATTATTATTATTATTATTATTATTATTATTATTATTATTATTATTTATTATTAATATTATTATTTGTCTCCTTTTGTTGTTTATGTGTACAGAGAAGGGACAAGTATTGGCTTGGGGAGATGGTACATACGGAGAGTTGGGTAAGTTAAGGGTTAAGGGTTTAGGGTTTAGGGTTTAGGGTTTAGGGTTTAGGGTTTCGTATATTTATATTAATTTCTTAATAAAACTAGATATATAAATAGGTATTTTCCCCTATATATATAAATAAGGAGTAAATAAATAAATAAATAAAATAAATAAATATAAATAAATATAAATAAATAAATATAAATGTATATGCATGCAGCTGGTGGTACCCCTGACTACCCATTAACAGGACTAGGAGGATTTATACAATTAAGTCTTAAGGATTCATTAGGAGACAGTCTCCCTGCAATAATAAGTGTCTCCTCTGGTGGTCGTCATGTCTTACTACTAACAGAGGACAGGAGACTCTGGGCATTTGGAGACAATTCATCAGGACAATGTGGTGTACCTAATGTACAAACTAAGTGTCTTACCCCTAAGGTATATATTTTTTTTTTTCTTCTTCTTTTTTTCTTCTTTCTCCTTTCTTTTCTTCTGTCTCCTTTTCTTTGTCTCCTTTTTTTTGGCCCTTTTTTTCATGCTTTTTATTTGCCTTTTCTTTTTTTAGGTAGATATAATTAAGTGGATTAGGGTTTAGGGTTTAGGGTTTAGGGTTTAGGGATAGGGTTTTGTGAGGGTTTTATCTAGTAGCGGTATAGATACACACATAACACAAACAAGAGACTACTGCTGCTGTTGCTGCTGTTGCTGTTGCTGCTGCTGCTGCTGCAGCTAGTGAAGGTTGGGGACATGAAGTCTAGGGTTTCGCGTGTTGCATGCGGTTATAGACACTCAGGATGCGTAACTCGTAAGTACTAACAACTAAACCCTTTCTTTGTCCTAAACCCTAAACTAGGGTTTGTGGCATGCATTGAAGGTTTAGTGTTTGTGACGTGTATTGAGGGTTTAGGGTTTGTGTCATACATTGAGGGTTTAGGGTTTGTCTATTGCTTTTTGCGTTTTTATTACTCCTTGTATTATATTTTGAGGGTTTAGGGTTTAGGGTTTAGGGTTTATTTTTTCTTTGTGTATGCAGCAAACCATCAATTATATTTATGGGGACATTCAGCAGATCATAAGTTAATATTTACTGCAGCAACAGAAGCAATTGTTGGAGGAGAGAGACAACCAGGTGTTGCTCTTAAATCAGGACTTAAAAGTGCATGCTGCAGGGTAAGGGTTTAGGGTTTAGGGTTTAGGGTTTAGGGTTTAGGGTTTACTGGATTCTTGTGTCTATCTTTTTTATGTCCCTAAATAAAACAAATAATTAATATAGTGTCTGTATTATGTTGTTAATTGTATTTTATATTGTCTCCTTTTTTGTCTCCTTTTTTTTTTATTGTGTCTCCTTTTTTTGTCTCCTTTTTTTTTCTGTGCATGCAGCCCCGTTTAATATACTCTATGTTACATGAGAAGGTATCTGTCTTAGCCCTTGGTCGTGATTATACATTAGTAGTTACAGGGGATGGTGGCTCCCCTCCTCCTTCCTCTGTGCTGCAGAGCAGCAGCAGCAGCAGCAGCAACAGCAGCAGCAGCAGCAGCAACAAGTCGGATGATGAGTGTAGCTCTAATAACAGCTGGGGCCCCTCACCCCACATACTCACTGCAGCAGACTTTAAGCCTAATGATGCCCAACCAACAGGGGGGGCCCCCAGAGAAGGGGGCCCCATAGGGGGGCCCCCTACAAGAGGAGTTGGGGGCCCCACTGGGGGGAACCCCATAGGGGGAGGACCCACAGAAGGGGGCCCCACAGGGGGGGCCCCCAACCTAGATACAACCGACAATGATGAGAAAAGGGGGGAAGGGTCCCCCAAGTATTTTGTAGCTGGAGAGAGTAGCAGGGGCCCCCAAGAGGGTACTTACAGTGGGGGGCCCCATGAGGGTACGAGTAGTGGGGGCCCCACCCCACCACCCCCTACAAACATGGATAAGAGGGCCCCCCAAGAGGGTACTGTTGAGGGGGCCCCCCAGCAGCTTGGTAACTCGTTAAGACTTGATGATACATCCCATTCAACAGCAGCAGCAGAAGGCCTGCAGCAGGGATCCGAGGGCCCTGCTGCAGCAGCAGCAGCAGCACCTGCTGCTGCTCCTGCTACAGACCCGCTTGCTCCTTTTTCTCCTTCTGCATCGATATGGGGACAGAATGGAGGAATATAAAGAAGAAAAAAGAAGGCCAATTTGCTGCTGCTGCTGCTGCTGCTGCTGCAGCAGCAGCAACAGCAGCAGTCTGTTGAGGGTTTATAATACAGTTAAAAACAATGCAAAAGGAGACACTTTTTGTCTCCTTTTCTTATTATAAAGTGTCTCTTTGTTAAATAAATTGCCCTTATTCCCTCCTTATCTAGATAAGGGCAACAGAGCTAACTGTTTGTTTATTCTTATGGCCCCTATAGAGGCCAAACATATCCAGCTAAACCACTTCGAGGGTTTAGGGTTTGGGGTTTACGAACTAGGGTTTAGGGTTTACGGACTAGAGTGTAGGGATTAGGGTTTAGGTGTAGTGCAGTCTTTCTCCTTCCTTATATTAGGTAGACTTTTTCTTATAAGGTAATAAGAGAGAATAGTAAATAAATTAATTAAATTAAATTAAATATTCTTCTCTTTCTCTTTTTTATTATAAATAATATTAATTATTATTAATATATATAATAAGAAAGACACAACAATCATTAATAGACAAAGAGGAAGGAAGAGGAGGATAGGGGGGTGTAGTATATATACCTGTGTATACACTGCATAAAAAGAAAAAAAAAAGAAATAAAATAAATAATAAATAAATAAAAATAAAAAATAAAATAAAAAAAGAATAAAAAGAAATACTTTATGCAGTAAATAAACACACAGATAAATAAGTGATCGATGGATAAGAAGGAAGAAGAAGAAAGGAAGAAGTAATTCTTCTTTTTATATCTTTTTCTTCTTTTATTATATATAAATAAATAAATAAATAAATAAAAATAAAATAAATTAAATATAAATAAATAAAGAAAAGCATAAATTATAATTAATTAATAAAAGAATATAAACAACAACAATAAACAACACCATTAGTCGTCATTGGTTACACACTAACGGACATCTTCTTATTGTTTATATATTTCTCTTCTTTTATTCAATAAATAAATAAATAAATAAATAAATAAATAAATAAATAAATAAATAATTCTTTTTTTTTATTTCTTTTCTTTGGATTATTTTATTTATATTCAATTCCTTTTCAATAAAAAAATACATTATAACATACTTGTCTTCTTTTATTGCTTTCCTCCTTGTCAACAACAACAGCCAATTATATTTCCTCCCTTCTCCTTCCCTTTTTATTTGCTTCTTTTGTATATATAAACTTTATCTTTTATATTTATTAATTAATTATGGATAAAACAGAGAAACCTTCAGCTCTTGGTGAGGGAATATTAAGAATACAACTTCCTCTAACAGAGAAGAAGTGTTGATTAGTAATTGGTGTCTTCTTATGCAATTTATTCAATATATATACTTGTTTTTGTATGTTATAACAATATATATTATATATATATAT